TATTTATCTGGATTAGTTTTAATTCTTCCTGTGTAAATTATCTAGAATGTAGTGCCTCGATGAATTCTAGCTTATTTTCCCACGAATACAATAGTCCGTTGGATTTCTGCCTGCTTAGTTTACTTCTAACTATCCTAAGTAACCAAGTAATTCTAGGTCTTACTTTACAAAGTAGTTTTGGTTTCAGTGCTCAAACATACGTATATTGTTAGTTCGCTCTCATGACTTTAATTGACAAGAAAACTAAGGTAGGTGAAAGTTTCAATTTTCCGACTATTTTAGCAATAAAATGCTCTGCTACTATTTAGTACATATTCCATGGTTCGCAACTTATTTTTGCTGGGAAAATTACATGTCCTGTTGCTGACTTAAATAATCACATGTATTAAATGACTAGAAAAGTTTGTCTTAATACGACAAATAAAAAAGATTACATACAAAATCCTTTAAGTGAAATATAATGGAGATTCAACATCCAGTGTACTTGAAACACTGTGTAGTATCGATCGACGTTGCAATGGGCTATGAAAAAGCTGCCCTAAGGGTAAGCTCGGAATTTGTATAATAATTTTTGTTAATAGGGTGATATAGCGGAGCAAAAGACTAGAAAATCAAGTGGAATTTCTACGATCACTTGTCATTTGAAAGCAACTTCGAATTTACCATTCAGAAGAGATTCTAGGAAGTGGACTGCATGGATTTGATCGGTCTTATTTATTGTTGCAAGAAATTTTTTTTATTTCTCAAATTAAATCTTTTTTGAATTGAAAAGTTTTCAGTAATTCGATCATGATTTATAATGACACAATTAATTCATATTCGTTTATGCACCTCAAATTCTGGATTCATGAAAATGGGAGCAATTGAATGACTTATAGTTGTTATGCAAAAGCTCAAAAATTTCTATCACTGGCTCAGAAAATGTTTCAATCTTAGCGCATTTATTGAAAATGAACTAGGACAAGAAGTTGCAAAGAATCACATAAGGAAAAGCTTTGAAAAATATAAAATGTTACTTTTCAGAATCCTGCCACTCATATCATCTGACAAAACCTAGTTTCTTGAGTCAAAAGAGATTGACAAAGTGGTAGTAATCAAGACTTTATTTGAGAATTTTTTTACTTTTTAAACTGAATCTTTTTAAATCGAAAAGTTTTCAGTGATTCGATTGTGATTCATAATGGCACAGATAATTCATATTCATTAATGTACCTCAAATTCTGAATTCACGAAAATGCGAGAAATGATAAAAAGTCATACTCTAAGTTTTGAGATTAGTGATATTTTCATTAATAGTAGTTATACTATTGATAACGCCAATGGTAAAGTTGAATTTTGCGATAATTTTGCTGCTCAAAATTTTGCTATTTTTACCAAATTTTTTACTTTGATAACGCCAATGGTAAAGTTAAATTTTGCGATACTTTTGCTGCGCAAAATTCTGCGTATTTTCGCTAAATTTTTAACTACCTTTATTCGTAATTTGCTAACTTCTTTCAAATTGTTGGCTCATTGACGTTCGGATCGCTTCTGCCACCAACACCCGCGTTTGCAAGATCGAATTTCACTTTCGATGCGTCATGATGACAGCTGACAACAGTATCGACTATGAATTCAGCATTTATCATACATATGTCAGCGGTGAAAGAGAACAGTATCAGCACAATGGCGATGTTTCATTCGACGTCACATTTGTCATTTTGCGACTTGGACATTTGACGCATCTACTGGACATTATTCCGTTTGCATCTGCTGTACATATGTCAACTCGAGAGATTTGAAAAATATTTTTTTGCTGGAATATCTTCATCTTCAAAATTTTTTAACTTTTACATTTGCTGATTTTTGTCTTTGGTTATTCAGCTCCAGAATAGGCTTTCGACGCTGTGCTGAACTTTTTCAAACGTACTTTTTCCACTCATATATATGTTGAATTGACAGAAAAACCGTGCCGCAGCATTTTCGAGGAATTAATTTTGAAAAAACTTGAAAGCTCAGCTTTTTTGTTTGATTCTCAATTTATTTCTCAACTTAGCGCTTTGTAATAATATATGGTCCTCTACTAAGAATAATTATCTGAGATCGTTCAAAAAAACTCACTTGAGCTCTGATTTCTTGAGATTAGTTTACAAAAAATTTAAAAAGATGCAGCGAATTTCGGAAATTATTGATATAAGTGAGCGAGTTTATGCTTACGCACATCTCTGCGTAGAGTTAGGAATTTCGAGGAAAGGAAAATGTTGAAGGGTGAAAAATTACAGAGAAAGCAAGCGACAAATCGAAACAGTCCGTAAAATAAGTTTCATAGCAAAGTTTTTAGATTATTTCTGAAACTTTTTTGAGGGTGCTGAACAGAATTTTGCTGCAACTTAAGGCAGCAAAGCAGTTTGATTTTGCACTCATTAAACTGATTTACTGCGAAAGTTTTTAGAAGTAAGTTACGGAGATTAAGTTCAGCTGATTAAGAATTGAATCTGCATATTTTGATTTTTAAATTAATTTGTGTGGGGACTTCGTGTGAAGACTTTGAATGTATCTAGTGAAGATTATGAAGAACTGCATTAGTGGGAGAGTAAAGTAGCCCATGCTGGCTTGGATTTTATCCAACTGAAACAAATTTTGAGCAGCTTACTTATGCATATTAAAAACTTTCTAAACTTTCTTTTCTCATGTTAGAAATTCTTTGAACTGTGATGTGTTTGCTGATGTGTTCAGTGATATGCAGTTTTTTTTTACAGCAAAAGCTCATTAGCATTCTTTATCCTAGCTCATTGTGTACTCCCAACTTTTTTCCTGAGATGAGAGCTTACGACAACAAATAACTACAAAATCATCGGGAATTCCCGCAATTTTCGTGAATATAAAACATATATTCATTGAAATTGCGAATCCAATAAGTCAGTATTGCGAAGTTAAGCAGGAAGTTTAAATAAACTAGAATTGCTTCCTGAGCAGAGGAAACTTGAATAATGTGAGAATTGGATGCAAACTTTCGTATGTTCTCCTAGATGATAAATATAAATGCAGATGTGCACGAATATTTTTATGACATCATTATTTTATAACATCGTTATTTGCAAGGAAACTTACATTCGTGGGAAAATGGCAGTGCTGAAGTTCTGCATCACTGACGTAGATTTGTCGAATATTCCCATTCCGCTGTGTAAAGACACTAGTTACAAAGAAATATGGAGGAATATTGATATACGAGCCTAGGTTTTTCAGTAGCTGCGCACCACTAAAACAAAAGTTCTTCGAGAAGTTTTCTGTCAAAAACCAGGAAGTAGGATTTGCCTCGAAAAGCTATTTATCTCTTGGCTTTTTGGATTCTTCCAATGCCTTCTGCTGAGACTAGCTGTTGAAAAATAAAGACATTTTTCAGAAAGGGGGGGGGATAGGCGCTAACATGACAAACCGGATAAGCCGTAGACCATTAGCGGCTCTATTGAAACACACGAACAAATTATCCCTTCGTCTTGCTTTCGCTTTCTCAAAGCTTTTAACGTTCTCTTCAAGCTTGCCACAGTTCTTTCTTTTCTTTACCATCTGCTGAATTCTCAGAAGAAAAATATTTGCTACTGGTCTACTAATACGGGTTTTGCGATGATGATTTGTATGTAAAACCACCCTGGTTGTGCATTTCGTGATATTCCGAATATTACCAATAATTTGTAACTTGTACACGTATGAAAGCTTCTTCTATCCGTCTCTTATAGTGTTCCATAAGTTCTGCTCTAAAATTCATGAAAATTTGTCCTAGAAATGTTAAGAAATGATCGACTTCATGCTTCGTTTTGCTTACAAGGTTGATCCTACTTTACCACAGAGATTCCATTCAAACAAAATCAAAATATCGGATAAACGAAAAAATTATAAGTATTTGCAGAAACATCCGACCGTTGCGTGTCTCCGGTTGAAAAGGGTAGGCTGTAAGACCAAAAATAATCAAACCTAGAATTGATTTTTCTCACCCTTAGAAATTTTTTGCCATTGTAGTTTTGAAAAATTACAAATGTATATTTGATCCCACAACTTTGAATGCCTAGGAAGTTACGATTTTGACCCAATTTGGTACCTTTGGTTGATTGGGTGCAGAGCTTTTTCAAAAACTTGAGAACAAATAAGTATAAATATTATTTTTTCATTTTCTATTTCCATAAATACACTCAAGATACATCAGAAAAGAAAGAGCATCAAAAAGAAAGTCCAGAAGCACGAGACCAGCCCTTCTTCAGCCTCAGGGAAAAAAAAGAAAAAGAAAAGAGAAATGGGTAATATGCCATTGTATAAGACACAACTTTGTTTTCGGTCATCAAGATGAATAAGCAGTGAGATGGAACACAAGGCATAAAAATCAAGTTAATTTGATGTGTGCGAATTTGTCAAGGATCAATGGATTCAAACGGCGGAGCTGTATTCATCCCAATAATCCACTTAAATAACTGGATAATTACTGAAATGTTAAAAGTTATCTGTTTTGCTGAGTAAGAATTTTTCCACGAGAACGTTTCACATGACTTCATACGAATTGCCTATAAATTTTTTCAAACATGACCTGACAACCACATCCGACAGTTAAATGTTCATAAACTGACATATGACTATTATTACTATGCTCCGGGACAGCGACGCTTCCTTAGGTAGACCCGGTCAGTTGATTGATGTTTTGCTCGTTGATCTTTAGAGATCGAAAATTAACTTTTATTTGGTCAAATTTTGCTATTTTTATCCATGACTGGGCAGATAACAGTCTAAGCGGAACTCTTTGAAGACTTCTAGCTACTGAAACAGCTGATGCAAGAAGATCAAAAAAGAATTTTGAACCCGAAATCAATCACTTTTTTATTGAACGAGCAGTTTTTCGTTCGTCCGGTTATCTCTGTAATTGACATACTATCTCTATCTGTATCTGCACCTGTCTGCATCCATACGTTTGCCCCCCTCCCCGCCATATTCTGCTCTTGGAAAAAAATTCTAGTCAATCTCGGCTTTGCTGCATTATGCAGGTTTGTTTATTTATTAGTTTATTCCTTTGTTAGTTCAGCTTTTCAAGTTTTTTTGGCGGGATTATCTCGTTTTGCTCAACTCTTTTTCCTCATATTGCTAGCATTTTCTCAATCTAGGCAAAAGATGCTGTCAGTTCTCTTCAATTTTCTTCAGCCTCCTTGTACATTTTTCTTCATTCACCTCTGAAAAATTTTTCAGCTAGCATCGCAATTTTACGACCAAAGTTATCGCTCTGCTGTTCCGCTACACTCTGCACGCTAAGGTGCAAGTTACAAAGTTCTTTCTCCATTCTTCCGTTGTCACCATGGTCATTACGACCCACTTTCTTACTCATCTTTCCTACTGGTTTCGTGTAAAACTGGTCCTGCTGGTTATTTTCTTATTATTGAACCAGTATTGATGACAGGAAATGATGTGGTTCCATGATCTCAGAGCATCTTTCGGGTCAGACATAAGCAAATTTGCTTCTTTTGTTTTAGTTATTGACACATGCTTACTTAGTTCCGTCATGATATCATGCTTCTTTTGTTTTTACATATGATATCATGTTTTCTTAGCACTTGTGACTGCATACAATGCTTTCAGTTTTTTATAAAAGAGTTTGCAAGCTAAATTATGGAAGCTCGGCACAAGTGCTCCTGCCACCGGAGGCTTGGACAATTTTTTTTAAATTTTTAATGTTTAATACTTGAAAATCAAACTATTTATGGCTTCGCTATGAATACAACTATATGATTATAATTTCTCAATTAGCAAGCTCAAAAAAGCGAAAAATCACCTTGAAATAAATCTGTCGTTTTGATCCCCTTTACCGTATGGCTACCGTAGCTTGATTTTTTTTCATACTGTATCGGCAAAACTGAAAACTTTCGCAAGGTACTGCCACAAAGCACATGAATGCATTTTGTGACTAGTATGTTAAAAAACGCGGAAAAACTGCCTGAGGACAAATTTGTCGTTTTACCGTATGCCTACCGTATGGCTACCTTAGTTTGAGCAGATTTCTTGATGCTATATCGACAAACTACAGCTCTAAACAAGCTCTAAACTATCGCAAGGTCCTGCAGAAGATGATTTTTTATAAAACCTACGTTAAAAAACAGAAGAACCACTTTGAACGAGTCTCTCTTCACTCCCCAATTACCGTATGACTACCGTATTGATACAGAAAGCTCGAACAAAAATATCGGCAATTAATCAGCGTGCTCTCAGAATTAATTTTGCATCGACTTCTAAAATTAGATAATATTATCTTTCACCGCTCGCGATGTTTAAAAATAAAACACGTGGCTCCACGAACCGGTTGCATAATTAAGAAAAGCTCTTAGGACATGTTACGCTAATTCGTAAGTGCATGCATGTTCATAAAACTCGCAGTCCCTCGTTATTTCATTATTTCTTGACCTGTTCTTCGTTACGCTCGTTTTATCTCGTTTTTTGGTAAATCCTGAATTGTTTGTATAAGCGAACGGAGAGTGGGGAAATCACGTTGAGTACACGTGCGCCTAATGGCTACGTTCAGCAAGAGTAATAAAATAGGAAAAGCTTGGCAAATTGCTTATCAAGGCTAAATTTTCGTACCTGGCTTTCTTTGTTGGAAATAGACGCAAATCGCTACAAATCGCCATCGTTACTAGTTCATCTAGAAAATTTACTACTTGTTTGAAAATTTTAGGTAATGACGACTAGCGGAGAGTCACCACCGGACTCCGGACACGAAAAGAAGAACGGCAGTCTTCCTGTGGTGAGATCGTAGGTTATTGTCGTGAATTTATTGCCGGAGGGGATGCTTTGCTTTTTAAGCTACATACCAGATGTTGACGGAACTATTTTTTTCTAAGAAACATATGTAAGATGACTAGTGAAGAAAGGGACTGCGGAAGTTGTCTCTAAAACCTTGGGATTGATTTGCATGTTAGTGAATGAATTTCTAAGAATTTAAGCTTGTTACTCTAAGAAAAGAAAAGAAAAGAAGTATGTTGAGAAAGCAAAAATTAAAAGGAAAAAACATCAACTTCTAGTGGACATTTTAGATATTTTAACAGTTGGAATTCTAACACTTCTTGAGTGATAATAGTCTTAATACTTATAGTCATAATACTTATACATACTAAACCCGTATGTCCATGTACATAGCTGATGAAATCTAAGTGATTCTGAAAAAATCTCAGTATTCGACGGATTTATCTGTAGGCGGAGTTATCCACAAAAATCTAGGATAACAATAATTGATGTCAACAATAATTTAAGGGTATGAGGGCAAGGGTAATTTAATACAAGGATAACAGTAGTTTGTGTTTTTTAATTAATGTTTAATTGAAAATTAATTGAAAAACATCAGATTCCGTCAAAAACATCATCAAACATCAAAGTCGAATGTTCTTGATAATCTCTTTCCAACGGTGTAAAGTTTATTGGCCAAATCTCATTTTTTATGTAACTTTTTTCCACTTTTCGCACCAGCGATTTGTGGCAACTTCAAAGCAACACTTTTCTCTAACCTTTTTCTAGTCCGTAAGCTTGGCAGTGAAGTTCGTTGTCAATAGTTTTCCACAAATGTTTGGAAAAACTATTCAAGGGGTTTGACTGATACAAATCAACCCGTATGTCCATGTAGCTGATGTCCAATTGATTTTGTAGAAAATCTCATTTGGCAGATTTATCTGTAGGCGGAGTTATCCACAAAATTCTAGGGTACCAATAATTACGGAAAATTAAAAACGGAACGGTGTGTGCCCATACTCAATAATTTTTTATTTATTTTCAGTGAACAGATTACTTTGCTGTGCAAATATGCGAATGATTATCTTCGAAAATTGATGAATTTTAGGTAATCATCAGCGAACCAGGCTCACCTGATGTCTTAGGAAAAATGGAGGCAGGACAGAATGAAGGTGAGTACCTATTTTTCAGAATTTTTTTTTGTCATATGCATCTTCAATGCCTTTTATTAAAAAGCTTTTTTTGCATACTTTGCGATTCGGAAGAGTTCAGATTTTGTTTGTATTCACGGATTTTGTATGTCATGATTAACCTTGAAAATACAAACATTGTGAGAAAGGATCATGATCATCTTTAAAATATTTCTGAAGTAGTGCAAGTAACTTAACATCAGATTTTGGTAATCATTAACTGATAAAACAGTCAGCCGGTTGCACTTTCCATAAAGCAAGTCTCTCAAATCACTCTCTTCACGGAGTCAGTATCTGTCATGTCGAGTTAAGAATTTTCTCATCGCGACAGTGCCCGAGAAATGATCGAATCGAATGATGTACCCCGTCTGTATTTCCACACACAATCGTAAAGTTAATCGTTGCAAATCGGGAGTTTTGATTGCAGTCAAAATGACGTCGAAGCTTTTTTTGGAAAATGAGACATTAACTTATCGTTAATGCTATGCTCGTCACATAGGAATTATAATCAGACTGTGAGTTGATTAGCGGAGACGTCATTCTCCAATCCTCTTCCACTTTTTTGATTCCTCCACTCCTCCTCCACTATTCTTATAATGAGAATAGTGCTTAACAGACTCAACTCTCAACAGGGATAGAAACAGAAATAGTAGTACACAAGAGTGTACAATGTGGTACTACATTACTGTGTAGAAAATCAATTTTGTAAAAGAAATATCCTAACTTCATTTCGTTCCTGCGGTTAGACAGAGTGTAGGAACTCCGGGCTCTCTCTGGAACTCCTCGGTAAGAAAGGAGAACCCGTGATATTTTGTGTCATTTTTATTTTATAAAGTTTTTGGTGAAAATTGTTGCCAAAAACGTATTAAGAACCTTAAAAGCTATTAGGTGGATGCATAGATTTTGATCACAAACATTGAAATACATCGTTTTCAGAATGCCCAAGTGATTTACTAGAACTATTTTATGACTCTTGTGGCACATAATGAATGTTATACTTATTGTGCATAATAGAGACTCTACTTGAGTCAGAATCAAGAGGCTGAAAAAATCAAAAAATCATAACTATTCGGAAACTTCCGATCAGCTCGAATACAATTTTATGATAAGATCAGTCATAAATTCAAAAGCAAAAGTAATGTGATGTTTCAGTGGGCATTTTAGCCACTTCCACAGTTGAATTTATAAAAACACGTACTGAATGTTTACTTGTTAGCTTTGATCGATACTTGTGACGAAATGAAATCCTGCCTCAAGCACTCCTATAAGTATTGTTTTCTATACTTAACAGATATTGGTTCAAACGATGTTGAAAATGAAGAAGATTGAAAATTTACAAAATTTTTTCGTGCTAGCTAACTCATTACTCCAGGTTTTTACGGTTAAGTTCTGAACCTTCGTTTATGCAGTGGCAAGTGGAGCATATTGGCTTAGTTTATTTATGAAGGGTGATGATTAATGCTGTGAAACATTACTTTCCGTCTTACCTTGATTATCTCAGAAAGAGTAAGGGGTCTTACTGATGTGATCCCAACGATGTTCTCCTATTGATTCTCTTGCTTTGAGTTTTAGTATATTCTGAATCAGCAGACTTTGACTCTTCTCGAAGTGGATGTTTTTCCTAGGCAGTTGTAAAGTCTGTGTCTCGCAAGGCTCGTTTACATCTTTGCTGCGTACATTCAGTAAAACAAAAAACACAGACAATCTAGTTCAATAGGAGAATTTTGATTGAATGGGCTTTTTCATGCTATAGCTCTGCTCCGAATTACAAAAAAGATTTATGAAAATGTAATTCCAAATAAAAGTCGTATGTAATGCTTTTGAAATCTCATGTAATTTAAATTTATTTCTTCGCTTTGTGAAGGATTGCATGTTTCATCGAGCAGCAAACTAGTAGTCTGGCAAATGAAAAAATAAATCACTTTCCTGTTAATAGTAAGCACTGGCGATGGGGAACGAAATAAACCCAGCCTTGCTGGGCACAGTAAAGTAAACAAAATATCTTACTTTTGCGAGAAATGACGATTCTCCAACGAGGTTTGAATCCGTAGAAACGCATAGCAACCGCTCCCTATTTATTTATTTGTTTGTTTACTTGTTTATCTATTTATTTATTTGTCTTATGCAGTAAGTATTAAGGAGTGCTATAAAAGCAGTAAATAAATCAAAGAACAAAATCTATCCTTAGAAGGCGAACTTAGAATGTTTGATACATTTTCCAGCTAGCGAATCCAAATGTATCCTTTCATTTGTAAACAGTTCGTGAAATCTTTAAATTCTATATTCCTGAAAATTCTAGCGACTTTTTTCATTTTGTTTGCGGTGAATGTTCAAGAACAAGTTATGTCATTTATGGGGTTCTGCTATACAATGACAAACTTTACGACTAATTCATGACTCATGTTAGCGCGGAAAACTTTGTGAAGCTCATGAAATCTTTTTTTCTTGCTTCTAGAAGTTGCTCGTTAGTTTTATCTAAACAAAACATATGCGTTGAAATGTCATACTTGTTTTTATTAAATGTTAAATGTCGGTTATGAACCATTTATCCTTTTGTTGAGGACACCAAAACTGATAGGAAAGTGAAGAGTTGCGGGTAGATTGGAAATTTTGTGAAAAATGTTTTCGTATTTTTTTTAGTTTGCCGTTGTTCCACTTTTGCTTTTGTTTAGATTTGAAAGTATTTGCAATAGTTTACATTTTTCGTGTGAGGCCGTGTGTCCCTCCACGCACTTCCGCATATACAGAGAGCTTCGACAGCCATGTCAAATGCCCTTATCCTTCTCATTTGACGCCTCTGCTTAGCGATAGCGGCATTTTTGATAAGGACAACATTTCTTTTGTTTGGTTCAACCCCACACTCCAAGCGATGTTTGAATTTTCAGAGCAGATTCCATAGTTTTGGTGATTAGGAAGCGTTTTTTTCTGACGTTTATGTGAATTTTTCGGACGCGTTTTGTGTGGCTAGGAGCAGGAATTTTCTGGAAGAAATCCAGTGTGTAATAGTCTAGAAGTAGTCTCCTAGAAATTGTGAACATTTGGCGAACTGTGAAATTTATACGACCTCATTTTCGCTTAATTCTCATGGTTTGACAGGCGCAGATTCATCGCTGATTCAGTTGAAAAGCAAGGAAAACAGCAAGTATCATTTTCGTGCGCCTTCTAATTTGGCCCACCCTTGTACCATACTGTATTGACCCACCATTGTGCCATACTGTATTGACCCACCGTTGTACCATACTACTTTGACCCACCATTGTACCAAAACTTGCTGCTGCCTGTGGTAAGGTTTATTTTTAGTTCAATGATTCCTTTATCGTACAGTTTGTCCCGAAACTCTTCAGCACGCGCCGCGCTCGTGCGTATAATGACCTTTTCAGCCTGATTTTTTGTCTTTGCGCATGTCAGCAGTGTTCCATTCATCATAGCGTACGTTGTTTTCGGAATGATTCATGTATTAGTCACTGTAAATGGATGTGTAAATGGACGGATGTCTGTGTGAGCGTTTTTTTAGCCCGGGGAGGGGGGGGGTCCAGACTTTTTGTGAGAATTGTCCACTAGCTATTGCAAGAAAACTCCAGCTGCAGCACTCAGCTCCTCGTCTATTGATTGGGGCACTAAGAAATTTCTTATTTTATTCGTTAATGGAAAAATTTATCAAAGCACATATGTTTCTACCTTACTGAGAATTCGTTCTGACTCTCGCAGGTAACTCTTCGGATGTACTAAATTATTTAATTATTTATGTACTACACTCCAGGTGTGCCAACAAGGACGATAAAATTAATTAGAAAATTCTTTGAAAACTTACTTTTTTATAGACCTCTAATTTTTCTACTTTTAGAACGAGTTAGAAAAAGTCCCCGTAAAAAATTAAAAGTTGGATGCTTCTGCTTTCCGTGCACTTTTGAAAAATGCAGAAAATTCTAGAATTTGTCTTTCTTCAACCTCGTAGAGTTTTCTGCCGCTTTGACCGGAAACAGCCTCTGTGTGGCCTCATTTTATCTTTTTTTGCGATTGTTTATTGAATTGAAATTCCATGAATAGCACAAATAAGAAGTTAACATAACTCAAATGGAACGAAGTAACTAAATTCAATATCATATTGACGAGTAAAAACAGAACAAGCAAATGAAGGAAATTATAGAGAAGTTAGTTCTTATCAATCTTTGTTAATTCGAAAAATTACTCACTTATTTTGTACAATTTTTCTGAAACTAAAACCCCAAAGATTTCTTAGCGCACCTTTTCTTCGTCAACAAAACAACGTAAATCTTACGCGAATGATTAACACATATCGTATACGACATCTCCATGTTCTTTTTTCTTTTCCCATCGCTAGAACAGCCTTGAACCAGTCCTTTGCACTCGTTCATTTGCAGACAGACACACAGTCTTATGGTATCTGTCCTTTATCTTTGTCAGGCGTGTTCAAACCCAACAAACAAGCTCCCCCCCCCCTCCCCAAATTGCAGCGGCTTAAATTTCTTAGCGATTGGTATCATGAGTAAACAATGTCCCCCCATCATGTTGATAAGTTCTGAACTCTTCCTTGATATCATAATCTAGTCATTGCTCGCAATCTACAAGTGATTGGCATTTTGTTTTACAAGTCTGTAACCAATGTGTTTTTACTTTAAGCAGAACATCCTCCTTATTTCGAAGAAGAAGAGTGCGGCTCGCTGGACGGCATGAACCAGGAGCTTGACTTTTCCAGTCTTTCCATCAATTTCCAAGCAGGTATGTTGTGATTTGTTGTTTATGCTCTTGCTTATAAATACAAAGGTCTCGGTTTAACATCTGTTTCATATCGTTTTGTGTTCATTAAGGCCTATTACCCAAAATCTGAACTTTTCCACCGTAAGCATTAAATTGTCCTCCAACAATTTTACAGGTGTTTGCTCTTCTTTGAGATACGAAAATGACTTTTCTCATGCTTAAAGAATACCCCATACCTCTGGAAACTTTCTGTCATTAGTTGGAAACTATCATACGAGGAGATAACCGAGGAGCTCGGTCTATCGTTTTTTTTCTCAGTTTCTTTGCATTGCTCTTCTCTACATTTTTTGGAATTTCAGAAAGAACTTCCTTAAGTTATTTCCATCTCCATTGTAAAATCTAGAAATCGCAGTTTCTTCAACATGGACGAAGTCACTTTAAGACTAAACAAAATCTAACTTCAGTGCATTTTTGTAACACTTAATACTGAGATTTGTAAGCTAAGCTCTCAAATTTTTTTTGGGCACATTCATAGAATTTGCGTTAAATTTTGTATTCGAAGCAGGGTTACACAGAGCCTCGGCAAGAGGCTTTTGAAAACTGCAAAAAACGAAATTCCCCTTGACCAAAATTTTACGAAATCCCCTTTGACCCTAAACCATAATCTAAAAAATCTCCAAAAAACGAAACGTCAGCCAAAAAAAACGTTGCAAATTTTGTGTCTTTTCGGCCACACGAAAACCTCTTTGCTTTTTGTCCCAAAAACGATATCCAGCTTGCTTACCAAGCCACCTGTGCCGAGCCTTGGTTATGTAGGTGGAGGGTAAACAATCCCATACAACAAACAAGTCAATTCCAGACAACAAACAATATCTCAATAACTGTAAATATCATTTTGATGTCATTATTTAGGTGCTGATGCTGCAGTCGATCTCTTACCCGTCCCACCAGATGGAGGATATGGTTGGATAATTGTACTTGCTGCATTTTTTTCGAATCTCATTGTTGACGGAGTATGCACATGTTTTGCTGAATTTAAGAGTTCTTACTCACAACATTTCCAGGTAAGTTTTTTGTGATTTAGACATTTTTGAATAAATTTTGTTTATTTTTAGTCTACGGATGCTGCCACAGCACTTATTGGTTCATTGCTAATTGGAGTGTATTTGCTTGTAGGTGAGTTAAATTTGGCTATATAATTTTTTTCTCCTTTAAATTTCGTGCTTTATCATTGCGGATTTTACTGGTTATAAGTTTTTTATTTTTTTTTGCAACACTCGGTACTTCTGAAATATAATAGTTATGAAAAAGAATAATTTTTTGACACATTGACATAGTATTAAAAACAGTACCCTACTTTGAGCAAATGTTTGACACAAAAAAAGTTTTGTTGTTTCCATATAATCTCATCTTCCTTCCATTTCCTACAAATTTACCGAATTCTTTTATTTTATTTTCACTCTCGTTGCAGGACCCGTTGTTGGTGGTTTGGTAAATAAATACGGTGCTCGAAAAGTTGTCATGGGTGGTGCTTTCATATCCGGGACTGCGTTTCTAATCTCAGTCGCCTCCCCAAATATCTACTTCTTTATGCTTATTTATGGTGTAATGGGTGGCATAGGTTTTGGTATGATCTATCTGCCTGCCATAGTTGTAGTTGGCTATTATTTCGAGAGTAAAAGGTAAGAATCTCAAGTTTGTTGTGAAATTTCACTTGAAAAGGATTTTTACAGAGCTGTCGCTACTGGAATCGCTGTTGCTGGCTCTGGTGTGGGTACAATGGTGATGCCATTTGTTACAGAGTACTTCATTTCCAGTAAGGTGTTTAAGTGAATTCAATTTGCTATTGCTCTTCAAATCAGTTGCTTGCTCTATTTGACGAAAATCTTTCAGCGATTGGCTGGAAATATACTGTATGGATTCTGGCAGCATTAGTATTTACATGTGCTGCTTTTGCCATACTGTATCGGCCGCTACCAGTGCCAACTCTTGAACAAAAAGATCAAGAGCTTGTTCCGCTACGAGCAGCACTTAGGAAAATGTCCGAAACTGATGACGATGAGGTATTACATGCCCATCAGATACAATTTACAATAATTTGACTATTTTTATTTAGAATCGCGCCACTTCTGATTTATCGAACGAACACGAAAGTCCCACCAAACGTAAGTATTCACTTTTGTTGAGGAATGGGCAAACCAGATAGAACGTTAACTATCAATGCTTGGAGTGAAGAACTCTTGTAGTTTTGAAAATGTTGAGATTTTGCTAAGGCGCATCAATAGTTTTCCGAGTGCCAAAAGCGTGTCGGAACGCGCAGCAACCAATGACCGCGCGTATTCTACCTTCGCTACTATTGGCTGTCGCGTGTTAAGGTACGCTTACAGTAAGCGGTAAATGAGATCCAGCTGGCTGACGCCACTGTTTCGAAAAGGATTCAGTAGTTTTTGGAAAAAATAATGTTGCAACATGTTAATATTTTAGGCCCATTTTTTTCGTCGGAAGTTGTAAATCATTGGAACTAGTTTCTTGGTTTAGTTTTTCGATGATAGATTATCGTGTACTCAAAACGTGTTCTGCGACATTCTATGCAAATTAAAAAATTTCTGAAAATTTTTGAATTTCAGAGAATCACGATGATCCGGTAATGGCACGACTTCGTAATGCACTCTCAGAATGTGAAAATGATACCGATACCTCACCTTCAACACCTGTTCGACAACCTCTTTCACCAGTTCTTGAGGGAACCATCAGTAAAAGCCGTGCTGGTAGCACACATCAGACTCACATTGCTCCTGGTGTGCGAGCTCGAAAATTAACACTCACTAGGTAGAAATCTCTCTATTTCTTCATTTCAGCACGTCATGGTCATGCTTTCAGCATGACAAGCGACATGACATCCAACAACGATCTCAAAGCTTCACGAGCAACGCTTAGTGGCCCACAACTGAGCAGAATTTCAGCCAGAAGTTTTGCACAGTCACTAAGTAGACTATCGAGTAAAGGAGAAGCTTCGAGTCTGAGCATTGCAATGAGTGTGAGTTGGTCTTACATTCTTGAAGTTATAGGTCAGCTGAAATCGCCGTGGAACTGACAAGCATCACAGAGGTGACAGACGCTTTTCCTGGAAATTAGGGATGGGGGGAGGGTGAGGGGGTGCTGACCTTGACCTTGAAAAGTTTAGGGAGCTGATTGGAATTTTTTGCTTACATAGGATGGTACAATCATAGTTTTTTCGCAGAGCTAATAATTTTTAAAATCTGAAAAATCCACCATTACATATGTGCACGCTTACTGAAGAAATTGATATGCTGCTGCTCATGAGGTTCACTTAAAAAAAGGGTTTTTCGTTCTTTGTCCTGCCTTCCCACATCTTCAATATCTCTTCTTTAAATATCTCACAACTTCGGCTAAAGAATGAATAGAGCTGAGATGTACAGATGATGCTCGATGATGTTCGCTTTGAATTTTTATAGAAGCATTGTTTTTGTTTGCTCTATGTAATAATAATTGTTATCGAAGGAACTCTTTCGATTTTGCAGCTTACGATCATTTTTGACACCATTGCACATAAGTTTTTCGGAATTACTTGAATTTCTGCTTATGGATATCTTTTTATTTTTGTGCCATCCACTATTTTCTTTAATCTATTTGGAAATTTTGCCGACATTTGATCTAAGCTTTAGACTTATCGAGCAGACGTCTAATGATATGATTGTTCATTACATATTCATCGAGTCTGTGATAGCTTATTATATCAGCATTACTTGTCATGTCACTGACAATGAGAATAGCGTTTGGATGCGGTGGAGCTTCAGAAAAAAGTATATTCTGAGAGCCTGGAGCGTAATAATTTTTTTGAAGCAAAATTTGTTGAAAAAATTATATGCAACAAGTTGTTTGGTGGTTAACCCGCTCATTTTTTTGTTCAAAATTTTTTGGCATCCGAGCAGTTATGGGTTAGACCACTACAGGAATTAAGCGCCATAATGTTGACAAAAAGTTTATTCATTTTGTAAATGCTTTCTTTTTTGGTTCAGTGGAAATGCAGTGCTGGTACTGGATAAATGACAGTTCGTGTTGCTCACAATAAGTTTGAAAACCAAATTATCAACATAGTGGTGATCAGATGCTCTTAATGAAACCGTTATTCAATGGCAGAAACCCTGACAAGCAAGACATGAATCGCAGTTCCATCCTGACGCCATAATTAGAATTTTTAGGGTGTGGATCCACAAGAATTTGCACGACCACTGAACAGACAGGATATCTTTTATGCTGGATCTATCAAAAATTTGAAAGAATTCAAACAAGAAGGAAACAATCTACAATCGTATCGTGGTTCGGTGATGTCAATTCCTAGATCTGTAATTGGCCATGCAGCATCCAGTCTTAGTCAAGCAGGTACATACTTTATAACATACAAATCGATTTTTAGACACTTGGAGGTCCTTATATCTTCTTGCTTCTTTCTTGCAATTTCTTATATGAGAAACGTACCAATGAAATAAGCAAAAGACTGTAGGTCAACATCCCATCATGAATTTCGTAATTTGAAATCGTAGTGCATTTTTTCTCCAAAAATTGTTGGAAGACTACCCGTTTTTTTTTTCAGTGCGAATCAGCGCCCATCCTAGGATAACAAACTTTGGGAAATTTGATGTGAATTTCAGTCTATTTTCTTCATTTTTAGGAGATTTGCACGAATTAGGCTCGCGTATCGGAGGATCGCGCTTGTCTCGTATTACTGGTGGTCTTGGGACAGAAGATGAAGAAGTTCTGGATGATTACTACGATAACGGGTAGGCCGAACTTTACAATAGCCTTGTAAGGGCTTTATTCATGGTTGAAAAATTTCTAGTTCAATTTTTTAGGCGATGCAAATGGATCCCCTTGGCTATTCGCAATGCATTTTCTGAAATGATCGATCTGGAATTGCTGAAAGATCCAGTAATGATGCTGCTTTGCGTTTCAAATCTGCTTGGAATGATGGGATTCTACATTCCATTTGTGTTCCTGAAAGATTTGGCTCATTCACATGGAACAAATTCGAGCGATAGTCGATATTTAGTACCAACAATTGGTGTGACTAACACAATCGGTTCGTTATAATCATCGCTCGAATAGTTTTGTAATGAATTTTACTTTTTAGGAAGGGTTTTCTTTGGATGGCTAGCAGACAGAGGATATGTTTCAGCTTTAGTTATCAATAACTTTTCTCTATTAGCTTGCGGTTTTCTTACACTTGCTGCTCCGCTTCTGCCCACTTTCTCACTTCAAATGACTTACGCGGCACTATTTGGCTTCATCATTTGTAGGTTTCAAGTGTTTTTTGTCAGATTTGACATCTACGGCTTAGAAATATTTTAGCTGCTTACGTATGCTTGACCTCGATCGTATTGTCGGACCTTCTGGGACTTGAAAAACTAACAAACTCATTCGGACTTCTTGTTGTGGCAAGGGGTATCGCATCGTTAGCCGGCTCTCCATTTGCTGGTCAGTAATATTTCTTTTTACTTAAATTGAGCACCTCCTTTTCTGAAGAAATTTAACCTTTTTTTACGGAAGGAATAGCCCACGTTCCAAGTTTTTTAGGCTTTTGTAGCGCTGAAGCTAAGTAATGAGTACAATCAAAGCACATTGTAGAAAAGTAGCGCTTTAAATAGAGAGTATCGTCAGCACTCACGCAAAATGGGCGGAGTTAGCCGTAGAGGAGGGGCCAGCTATATTTTTGAAGACTTAGCAGCGCTTGTGCGACTTTTAGGAGTAGAGGGTTCTTTTTGCTTCTGTATCTGCGCTGAATTTGCTTTTACTTAATGAAATTAGGATATAATGAGTTACATTTAGGCTTGGTCTACGACGTTACTCAGTCCTACTCGGCTACATTTTACTTCGCTGGATTTGTTATTGTTGTTTCTGGTCTGATCTCGTGTGCTATTCCATTGGTACATAAGTGGAAGAGAAGTCATGGAGATAATGAAGGTTGGTTTTTCTTTATTGATTATTTATGCTATATCTTTCCAAAAAACAATAAATTTCAGGTGATACGAAGGATATGGACAACGTATCCGGGAAGCTGTCGGTATTGACGGAACGCTCTGAAGAAAATCTTACTGAGTACCAGAGGACCATTCAGAGTCTCAGACAACAGCATGCTCTACTCAAAGGTTAGTATAGTGCCTATTCAGTAATGTATATTATGAGTGGCGAACGAGGGGGGAGAGGGGGAGAGAGAAGAGGGGGGGGGGGGCGTTACGAAAATTTCGACAGCTGTCTACATGTTGTAGATTGCGCAAGGAACTTGTTCTTACGTGTACTTATTTGAAATTATTTTTGAATAATTTCAAATGCAAACCGACCTTTTAAGAGAAACTTAAGGCGTAGCTGCCTCCAGACTCTTTTCTAGAAAATGGAAAATTCCAGGTGATGTGCTCACAAATAATGAAAGCGTCCCAAAAAGATTTTTTTGGGGTATGGCCCCTTTGTTCAAAAAAATCTACCATCTCCCCCTCCCTAACGAAATGTTCGGAGCGCTACTACACTACTGTACCTGTCCTTTTGACGCATTTTGCGTACAATCCATTAGTCGACAGGCGGTGCTGACAACACATGCGCGTAAAAGCTGTCTATGGCGCGCAAAGGTGGAAATTGTGCGCTCTATGGTCATTTTTACTTGTTATCCGCACTGTTGACGCACTATATCAACTTCAAATTACGAGACTGGTGTTTCCTGTGTACGTATATAAATTTAATCTTTTACTTTACAGAAATCGAGGAGGAAAAGCGAAGATTGAAGAGTGTCGACGAAGGGAACAAAAGAAATGGAACCGTTGAAGAAGTGAACGAGGAAGACGGAGAGGACGAAACTCACAAGACAAATTCTGAGAAAGCTGAAAAATAAGGATTTTGCTGGAAGTTCATTGGTTACAGAAACAGGAGTCAGTTCATCTTCTTACGCTTTCAGCTGCCCAGCTAAAGCGTAAGAGCTAGAGATTGTTGAATTCTGAATTCTCAAGAACACCGATTGTTAATCATAATTTAATTGCGCGATATTTTCAAATCAGACAGTAGCCTAATGTTGTGTTTTTCACCTCCGTTGAGCACAAGAGAAAAATCGAGTTTTAGAAAGAAGAAAATTCGAAGTGTTTCATATCAGCTGAGACGATTTTCAGCACGCATTTGCTACGGGTAGGCTCCGTCTGAAACTCTCTCTCTGTCTCATTCGCCTTGCTCCTTCATGCTTGTCTAGTCGTTGTTTAGCCGCTTTCATATCTCACTCTGTTTTTCTTTTTTTCAATTATTCTGCATTTATTCTATTATCTCTTTATCATACTAAACTGATTGAAGAGTTCATATAAAATATGGACCCCCCAGAGATGCAAAAAAGTTCTCCTAAGTTCGATTGTAAATGACATTCGATTATTGTGGTTTATTTTTGATTGGTGAATTTGAAATGCATGTTGTTCTCCACCTAATTCGTTATTTGCAGTGCCAACTGCTGAGCTTCTAACTAAGGTTGATGTTTTAAATGTTTTCTGTATTGATGTACAATTCTCAGTGTTTGTTCCATAAGCCGGTTTCTTAACTCAGCGATGATCGCTCAGAAGCTCCGTATGCGCTTGCTTCTATTCGATCCTTTTTTTATTTTTATTTTTGTTTCAAATTGGACGATGAATCCTGTGATAAATGCTTTCAGTATCTGTTGATCGAAAGCGAATGGTTTTATCAACTTTCACCCAACGGCTTTACTTAGCGTACTACTAAGCTTTTAAGCTGGAAGTCAAACAATGATGTGTGCAGAAATTTTTACACCTTAGATAAGCGCAAATCCTTGGTCAAAAAAAATGTGAACTTCACTAGACAGTGTAGCAAACTCGTACTGATCTTTGTCAAAAAGCTTTGCATCAGTTTTTTTGGCAAAAACGTTAGAATTGAGTGAAGCGAAGTGTCGCGACAATGGCGGCTCAATCACATCACGATTGTTCCCGAAATGCTTTTCGGCTTATTCGATTCGCAAGTTGAATGCATCAATTATGTTCTGTTCTCGGGCCTAAGAACTGACACATACACACGGACTCTCGTACACACTTTTAAAACTATCGTACTGGCTTTAGATTCTAGAGAATAATAGTAGTTGTAGACATCCTAGTACGTTTCAGTGCAAGAGTACCCCTACGACTTTTCCTTTTTTTCTACTTTATAGATGTTTTCGTCTTGCAGTTCTTATAAGCGCCATGAAAGTATATATCATTACCCATCTTTTACAATAAGCTATTTTAACTGGCTGTACGAGAAATTTTTTTATAATCGAGCAATGCAAAATTTTGAACGAAGAGTATGGCATTAGCACGTCTTTGAATTTTTTCAAGTTCTTCGAATCCAAAAATTCGTGTAAATTCACTGGATCATTTACAAGTATGAGTGAATCATACCCAGTTATAAAAACAAGACTGCTTTCGGACTTTCGTGATTTGTGCAAAATCGCTGATTATTTACAAGTATAAACAAGTCATTGCGCAATTACGAAACAAAGAAACAAGGCTACTTCCAAACTTTTGGTGGTTGGTGGTCCAGTCTGGGAACATGAGTACAACATCTCAAATATCTCATTTATTCCCATTAAGGACATGAATTTACAAGTGTCTATCAACAGTATCCCTTACCATGCCCCATTGCACTCTACCATCGCGAAAATCAAGTAGGTTGACTCATTTTTTACGTATTATGTGCTATTGCACAAACCATCTACATTGCGCTTAATAAGTTCCCGACCAGAACAGTTTTCTGATTAGAGAAAGTGCTTTCTTGTGTATTTTATTTTGTTTCATCAGACAACAAGGACACCAGCGAGTATAGGTTCATTTGAAGGTTTACACAAATTAGCCAACAGGAATAGTGGACGCGCAATGTGGATGGTGTCTGCAATGGCACAAATTATGGAATCAACTCGACTTTATTTTCTTCCAGATACCTTCACACGATGAAGCAAATTATATAATAGTGTGTGCATGGTCGTACCCTAGAAAACAAAGACTGAAAATAGTTAAGAGCAATAAACTGAAATAGCAAGCTAGAGTGCAGATCTGCGCTTCAGACGAACATTCGAAATCTTGAAAAGTTGTGCAAGCTCACCGGGTACCTCTGAATTGACGGCGATGATGCATGCTGCAACTATAAAGATTCGTACTTCTTCAGGCATTTTTCGCCTAACTTACAACAAAAATAAAATCTGTGTAAAGTGTCTTGACGTAAAGTTTGATCTTAAGATAGCCACATCTTTTCGCGTAATTTGTTTACTTAATATCACGTCTAGTTTGCCTCTAAATCCAACTTTTTTTACTTACCCCGTTACCGTTCCCGCAAGTTCAAGCTTCCTTAGAGCCAAAATTTTTCATTTTGAATGATACAGCCGAATGTTAGTTTGACAGAGGAAAATTCAATAGCTTCCATATAGCTTGGGTTTCCTCATTTGATCTGTATAGCCTTGATATCTATGGCTTCTCAAAATGAGTAATAATCCTTGTTTACTTGTCAGATTCCCGCTGTACAATCGACTTCATCGCTTTCTTCCAGACATTCTCTTATTACTGGATGACATTATTCAGACTAGCAAAGCATTTTCTCACAATATATATGTTTGATCTATGCCAAATCTATAAAAACTATAGTTTACTCTGTGCTAAGCAAAGCAAACATCGTGCAATGTTCGGTTGTTTGTTGCAAAGCTTTTGATGGCAGTAGAATAATGATCCAGAATTTTACATCGAAATGATGTAACGTTCTGGAAATTCTTCTTTTCTGTGCAATTATTATTACTTAAAGGACAACGAATTGGCACTAAGAATTCTTATTAATGCACAGTATTTACCAATACATACAGCAAGAAAAGACAAGGCGCAAATTTCTTGCGGACGCGCCGATAAGGGGTACTGCAGTACTCCTACAGTAGGGAAATCACCTCTTAATAGGTATATGTATATCTTAATCTTATGTGTATCAATAATATTTCAATAATAGTTTGCTGCAAAAGTTTTGCACCTAAACTGAAAATTTGTATACTCCAACTTCAACAAAAACGTGCTTTTATACATATTGAAGGAAGAAAATCATGTATTTTCTAGTAGTTCTAATATCAAAAATCCGTGTTGGTGTAGTCACTAAGTCAAAAAACTGAAAATTCTTGTAATTCAAATTTGATCTATGTTTGGTTTCATAATTTGCTCTTTCTACTCAAGAAAAGCTTGGATTAGATGCTTCTACAAATAAATCATGATTTTCGGATTATATTAGGTCGTTCCGAAAGTAATGTCGCTTTTTTCAAACGTAAGCCACATCTCGTGGAACAAAGATATGTAAGAGATTCTGGTAGCATTTGATGCAGCATTTTATTCTCTTTCTAATGGCTATGAATTTGTTGCAATACAATTAATGAACTTCCAGAAGAGAGTCAAAATCTGCGACCTATGCTTTTTGAGATGGGCAAGTTTCACAATTTTTCTAAAATTTTATAACAAACCTCAGAAGGAGTCCAAGTGATGGGTGGATGGAGCAAACCTTACAGGAAACAGCACAACTTTTTTCTACTTTCCAGAGCTCGTCATAATTTTTGTACAGATTTTTAGATGGAACCACCGGATTTTAGCAGGCTCGTCTCAGGCAAAAGTGCATCAAACGCCAACAATTGTTCGGATTTTGAAACTTACAAAGATGGATTACGGTTTGGCAACAATTTTACAAACCAAACGAGCATTCACCGCTTCGGTTTAGCAACTTTCGAAAATTTCGGGTACACCTCGGGGTCCCTTGAAAAAGTTGAATTATGAGATTTTATCCCGGAAAACTTTGATAAATCGGAAACAAAAAACAACTGCTAGAAAGAGGAGAAAAAGCTGCATCGAATGACACCCGAGTCGCTTGCCGGTTGTTGTTCTGTGAGGTTTGACTTGACTAAATATGGAATTTGATGGCATTGAGAAATTGATTGTAGAAACTCTGAGAAGCAAGCTAAGGAAGAGAAAAATTTACCCTGTGTTCTATAGTGTTTGCTCTATCTACCTGCCACTTGCACTTTTTCGGAGGTTAGGTACAAACATTTAAAAAAATAGCCGAACTTGACCATGGCAAAAAGCATGAGTCGCAGATTTTGGTAATTCTTCGAGAGCTCATTAAACATTATGCAGTGGAGTTAAACCCATTAGAAAGCGGATAAAATGCTGCATCAAATGTTCCCAAGATCTCTTGAAAATGTTGATTCCACGAATAGTGGCGTTCATTCGAAAAAAGCGACATTACTTTCGGAACGACCTAATATTATTCAACTTTTCGATATGCAAATTTGCTATTATGTACAATAGGATACAACATTCATCCGTTAAAAAAGTCTATAGTCTAACTTGAATGTCTCTGAAGCACTTTTTGAAATGCCTTATTTTTTGGAGGTTTTTTAAAAAGTGTGGAAAGAGATAGTATTGCCACTGGGTTCAGGTTCTTGTATCATGAATCTTCTTTTAGATCAACTTTTACAAATCTATAAGAATCATAATTTTTGCAAAGGTCTTACCAATATGAATCTGTTGTTGATCCAAAAATTCTTTTCATCGATGCTAAAACAAGTTCACTTGTCAATAACATTGTAGACAAAGCTCAGTGAAGTGACAAGTGATGATGAGCTGGACAACAGCCTGTGCAGAATTTGCCCTGCTGTATCGGAATGATTGTAAACATCTTGTGTCAAGCCTGCACAATTAGATGTTATAATTTTTGATTAATTTATTTTTTCTCTCAACTTCCATATTTTCCCTTTTTTGTCAAGAATAAGCAGTCGCTATACAAAGCGGTTCAAATGAGAAATGCGATAAAGACCTTGAACTAGAGTTTGGAACAGTTTAGTTAAGGACCGTGCATACTTCACGCGATTTCAGTCGCGACGCGATATGGCAATATTCCAAATGTCCATAACTCGCTGTAAGCATATTTCAGATGTACAGAAGATGGGGCATTTCATCCATTAACACAAGTTATACACACTATGCATGTGCGGTTTGCTAGTGTTTGATCTGAAGATTTCTGGCGTTGCCAAATCGCGTTGCGACTGAAATCGCGTGAAGTATGCCCGGCCCGTTAAGCTTTATTAAGTTGTGCGGAAACTGATACAGGCTCCTCACGCTATTGCTGTAGTGTCGATATAAAAATGTGGGAGGCATATCATCCGATAAAGTAAAGGGTTCCTCTACAAGACTGCGTTAGAACGTTCGCAAAAGGTTTGATCTACGTGTAATTTTGGAAGCAGAATTCAAAAAAAATTAAATCATGAAAAATCAGATATCCTCTAAAAAGCATTTGCGGACCTCCACCTTGGTCATGCACATGCTGTCTACCGAACATTTATATGCACACTTACCACATCTTTACAAAGGCTAAAAGCTGGAAATTTGAAATGGACCAAAAATGCAAAAACCACGCCTTTTCGGGCTTTTTATGCTAAAATGCAGTATTTCTCGAAAACTAACCCTTAAAGAAACTGAAAATCTACGATTTTACTTCTAAAGGTTTGTAGCACAGAACTACCTATGTCAGAATAGCTCAGCATTGCATTTGCTAGGACATGCCAACTTTCATTTTATCATTTCTAGTCGTAGAAAAAAGATCGCATTGTTACATGAATAATAATAATGGATAATAATATAATTAAATATTATAATTGAGAGAACTCCGTTTCGTTCCCATCCTTAGACGGAGTATTGTGTTGTTGCTATGCCATCCCCGGAACTCTTCAGTAAGGATGGATGGCGATAGTCAAAATTACTCTTCTTTCTATGTAAAATTGATATTAGGATTTATGTATCAAACATTTGGTTTCAAACATTTGATTCTTGATAATTTTTGTTTTGACTAGATTAAAACAATGTTCAATGTTGAATGTTTGTTAAATGTTGAATATTTGATGTAGACAGTATACGCCTAACCAAGTTGGAAGTCCGTAGGATATTTTTGGACGGAAATCTGATTTTTGGGTGTTTGAATTTTTTTATTTTTATTTTGCTTCCAAAGGTCACGTGGATCGAACTTTTTGCGATCTTCCTAATGCAGTCTTGTAGAGGTTGCTTTGCTCTATCGAATGATATGTTTCCATTTGTATATTTACTATTTACTTTGCCGCGATCGAGTAAGGAACTTGCATTGATTTCTGCACAACCTAATATATAATGTTATAAGAGCAAATATTTTTACATGACACGTTTTACTTAAGATCAGTACAAATTGTATCAACTCCTCTTTTGGAAAAAAAAACTCTGATTTTCAAAAAAAGGCACCATTTATGGCAATGTAACATCTTGGCTTTTGCGATGATTATACTTGCATGTGCTCTTTTACGTATTTATATTATTCTATTAATTATATCTCGTATTCAAAAAATGTGCCCCCAGAAACCTATGGTAATGAGCGCTTCACTTCGAGAAACTCTGAAGACGTTTTTCTCGAGTTCTGAGTGTTGTGATTGCTTCATCAGATTTGTCAAAAACATTGATTCATGCACTTTGAAAAAAGTCATTTCTGTTTGATATGCAGGTTAAGAGCCATAACTTGAAATTTTTTTGAATGCTCACATCTTTCTCTGTTTGTAACAATTCTCAAAGACATTTGCTGGATGTTATAACGAGGAAAATTGAGAGATTAAGCTTCTTGATGAGTAACGCT